CTCGCTGCAGTAGGATAGGGGAGAGAATCGGATCAAGATAAAGACAGCTTATTAAGTGAGGGAAGGAGGGGGGAAGGAAAAAACCTGAAAAAAACCCCAAGTACCACAAAGGCAATCACTCACCAGCTCCCACAAGCAGCCCAGTGCCCAGACAGTCTATGTGCAAGGGCTACTTTGGAAAGGCTACCCACTAGTTTTGTTGCTGAGCATGACATTATACAGTATGGAATATCCCTTTGGTCAGCTGGGGTCAGATGTCTCAGCTGTGTCCACTCCCAACCTCTTCTGCACCCCCAGCCTGCTCGCTGGGGCAGCAGAGTGAGAAATAGAGAAGGCCTTGGCACTGTTCAGCAACAGCTATAACATCCCTGTGTTATCAACACTGTTTTGGTCACAAATCCAAAACATAGCCCCATACAGGCTGCCGTGAAGAAAATTAACCCCATCCCAGCCAGACCCAGTATGTTCACTAAGTCAGCAAATTCTGTTCCTTGTTTTCAATAATAGGGTATAGTTACTTGCATTTGAAGATCTTGTAATAAGTCAAGAGGCGTTTTCAGGGTTTCTGTAAAAGCAGTCAGATTAATACTGATGAATAATAATCAGCCACTTTGATATGGGAAAGAGTTGAGGAGATGGAAGATATTTTCCCAGAAGAATAGCAATGGGCAACTCTGTAGGAAAAGAAGAAAAATAGAGTTGTATATGGATGAAAAAGACTGAGAGAGTCATGTGCTCAGATATATCTGACTTCGAAGTGGAAACGTGGCAGTGGTGTAGGAAGAAGCAGCAGACTCTTGTGTCATCTGGGTAGAGAAGGATGCAGAATAAGTTTTCAGGCTTATATCAATTTTGGTAGAAGTTCAGGACAGTGGAGCACATCAGCAGAAGGGGGTGTAAAAGGGTTTCTGTCCTCCTTTCTGAGGGCAAAGTGAGAACTTGCAGAGATTTGTAGGTAGAACCTGGGACATGAGCCGGGCACTAGGAGAAAGCAGAGGCTGAGATTTAGTTTTGAGCTACTGGCAAAAACCATGGGAAAGGGGATGCATTCCAGACACCAGTCTTTTTTTTTCTCTTGAATTTGTGTTATGTTCATATTATCATGGGGGGACTTTATTCATTCTTTCCTCAGTGCAATTTATGTCAGGCAGCAGAGAAAACTGTCTCTCAGGGAGCCTGGGTTATTAGCAGCTGGGTTGACCCTGTATGGCAAAGGAGACCCACTTTCTAACTACTGAATTGTAAAAGGGTTGAAAAACAAAGGTTGACGAAAAAGCTTTCCAGAAGCAATGGAAGAATTTTGCCTGATATTAGGGTGCTTATTAGAAGATGTATTTTGAAGGGTGAATAATTTCAGGATGGAACAGTTACCCATACTATCTACCTCCAGCTCCCCTGTAGCAGCATTGACAACATTCACTATGCTTCTCTAGCTCATCCAAAACCATGTAAAAGTTGAGGCACTGAGCAGTAACTAGGAGCCTGTGAGGTACCATCTCTATTTTTTTCGGTTTGGTCTGTAACTGCAACAAGACTTGGAAGTCTTCCCAGTTTAGTTTGCTTCGCTGCAGAGTTTAGATTGCATCAGTTCCTTGGACTCCCAGAAAAGGGAGTCTCCAAGTCTGCTTAAGTGACATATATTACACGGTGGTTTTGGTAGAAGGGCCTATAGGATAACAAAAAATGGTGGTTGATGCCCCATGTCTGTCAGTGCTTAAGAGGCATTTGGACAATGCCCTTAATAACATGCTTTAACTTTTGGTCAGCGCTGAAGTGGTCAGGCAGTTGGACTAGATGATCGTTTTAGGTCCCTTCCAGGTGAAATAGTCTATTCTATTCTATTCTGAATGATAACGTGGATCTCTAGTGGGTTCTAATAATCATTCTACCTACATTAAAGAAATAAATAGGTAAATAGGAATTGCCGCTGAACTCAGTGTGGACTGTCAGTTGTTGTGGTGACCATACTTTTAGTTTATTAACACAAACACAGATTGAATTTTGCTAATTGGAAATTTTATTGAAGTTCTTGTTACTATTGTGTTGTAATTAAGAATGCAGAACTTGAGGGGCTCTCCTTGGCTCTCAAGTGTGGGCAACCACAGATTTTATTAGCATTCAGAAGGCTCTATTTCTTATATAAACACTATTGTTCTCACCATGACATAGTGTGTTGAAAACCTTACCATCAGGTCTATTGTGAGTGTTAGGGCTGCTCTGTGGAAGAGGATATGTTAATTAGTGCTACAAACGGTTTGGGATATCCTGTCTTAACACAGGACAAAATTTCTGTGAAGCTGAGCAAGGAATCTTGCAAAAGTTACTCTCTTCTTAATTCCTCTGGAGCCTCTACATATTCTTTGTTCATTTAAAACAACTCTAACTGTTAGTGGTTGCAGGATTTATAAACCTTACAGTGGATGTAAAATGTCTTAACCTGGTTTAATTTTATATTCTTAAGAAAATAATAATACTTTTGTTCACGTAAAAAAAAATAATGACAGTCAAAGCTGAATATCTGATGCATTGTTAATTGAGACAAGCGACTTTTTTTTAAGCATATATTCTTTCTTACTGGACATAATTTAAGTATCGTTTACAGTCCATAACAGAAGACTATTGGCTGATCTCGGAGGTGTAAATAATTCCATGGGGTTAAACCAGATACTATTTTTTAATTCCCTTGTTTTGTTAGGAACAGATGGACTTTACTTCTTCAGATCATCATCCAAACAAAAAAAGAAAGGTAGCAAATCAGACAGTACTGCTTTACTGACTGTTTTGTTGGGGTGTGCATGTGTGTGTGTGTCTATTGTAGTTAAAAAGAAAATGGAGCAAAAAGAAAAAAAAGCCTTTAAGTAACATGCTGCAAAAGCAGAAATTGTAGTTAAGTTGGAATCAAGGCAGATCCTCTGCCCTGGCATTTCAGAATAATGGATAATTAATTAATGGATAATTAAATTAAGAATTCTGATAATCCACAGTGTTCTTGAATTTGGCTGATTGCTGTGCATGCTTCTCTTGCTAAAGCAAACTGAGTAGCTGCTGTACAGTAGCAGGACGGCTCTGTGGGGTGAGTGGTGTCTGTCGGCACGAGAGGGGGGCTTCAAGCCAGCGAGGGACTTCAGAAACTGCCATGCCTTTCATGAAAGTCACTGAGAACTGAAGAGATAAATAGGCGTGAAAGTGAAAGGTGACAAATACTTCTACAAGTGACACCTGAAAATGAGGGCACTGCTGTATCTGTCAGCACCTGGAATTCCAGTCTGAAGGAACCCTGGTCACAGAAGGGCCTTCTGCAGTGTGGCTTTTTTGGTGTCCTCACTGCAGATCTCTGGCTGTCACAGATCATGTGCTTGGTATTAGTCAGCTGGTTTTTTTTATTTTGCAGAAAGTAACTTAACTTTCCCATCAACAGAATCACACACTTCTATTCCCCCTCCGCCCAAGTATTCAGAGTATGATGAAATTGATGGATTTTGTATGTGTACCAAGTACTTTCCTTCTGAACAAAATCAAACTGCCTATTTTACTTGAAGACCAGAAGTCAAGTTATTTAATGAAATCATAGAATCATGGAATCATCGAATCGTTTAGGTTGGAAAAGACCTTTAAGATCATCAAGTCCAACCATTAACCTAACTCTGCCATCCCACCACTAAACCATGTCCCTAAGCGCCTCATCTACCCATCTTTTAAATACCTCCAGGGGTGGGGACTCAACCACTTCCCTGGGCAGACCATTCCAATGCTTGACAACCCTTTCTGTGAAGAAATTTTTCCTAATGTCCAACCTAAACCTGCCCTGGCGCAACTTCAGACCATTTCCCCTCGTCCTATCGCCCGTTACCAGGGAGAAGACACCGACCCCCACCTCGCTACAGCCTCCTGTCAGGCAGTTGTAGAGGGCGATAAGGTCTCCCCTTAGCCTCCTCTTCTCTGGGCTAAACAGCCCCACTTCCCTCAGCTGCTCCTCGTAAGACTTGTTCTCCAGACCCTTCACCAGCTTTTCTGCTCTCCTCTGGACATGTTCCAGCAATGCAACTTCTTTCCTGTAGTGAGGGGCCCAAAACTGAACACAGTATTCAAGGTGTGGCCTCAATAGTGCAGAGTACAGGGGCCGTCTTGCAGAGTTTTCTTGGACCTCTCTCGGCCAAGTCTCCCAGTGACTTCCTTCCTTAGGCAAAGCTCCCAGTGTTCCAGATCAGGCTGTGGTGAAAACAGAGAAAAACCCTCCAAATGTTGCATTCAAATTTTTTCCACTAAAGTTGAAAAGTTTACATCAGTATTCATTGAGTTCACTACTTTGTGGTGTAGGGGTGTGTCGTACCTTCATTTTGCATTTTCCCTTCCCTCCTCTCCTGGTTTGATATTAATCTGTTGTATGGAGCAAAAGGCAAATGATGTTTCTGATTTTGCAGCATTGTGTTTTTTCAGCTGAAAAATATTTCTGTTTAGATATATTTGGTGTGCATTTTTTTTTTACCCTTTTCCATGTATATTTCTGCATTAGTAATTCATCAAATTGAAAGAAATAAAGGGTAAATCAGGTCTGGTTTTTGTGTGGCTTTGTTGTTTTGCAGATTCAACATGTATATCAGAAAATAGCTATGCTTTCAAGTGCATTCATAAAAATTTCAGTAAGCTTGATGTGGGTTAACCTATTGCTACCGAAGTGGCAAGTCAGTGATTTTAATAGTCAGGCTTACCAGTGAAGCATTTTCAGTCAGAACACCGCTCCCCTCCACTGTCCTGACTCACCATGATAAATGGCTTTTTTTTGCGCCCACTGGCTCTCTCTTAATGTCGTTGATGTAAGTATGATCCTGTGCTGGACTATGTGGGGGTGAAGGTTTTTTCCCTTGAAATACAGAAATTGTCAGCAGCTCATCTTCTGTTTTCATGTATGCAACTGGGCTTAAGTATCTCCAAGAAGTATTCAAAACAGCATGATAAGAAGTTGAATGAATAATTATTTGTTCTTTCCCTCCCATCTTTAGAACAAAGGAAGAATTATGCACGAGACAGTGCCAGCAGCATATCCGAAACTTCTCAGTACCACGTAGAGGTGAGATGAGGAGCTATATACCAATTATAGCTTTCAGTTACATGCAGTTATTTTTGCCTACATGCTTTTTGAGGATACATACGCTTGAAGGCCTATCCATCTTCCAAAATATCCTGCCAGCCTGAGGTCACCTCAGCATAGATTACACTGAAGTGTCTCAAATTCTATAGCTCTGCCATAATGAGCTGAAATTTTGATGTAGAAAAATGTAAGCAAAGTTGTGTGTAGTTTGGCAAGCAGACAGGCCTTCTCAATGGGATATCAATTCAATGTGTTTTGTTGCCCTGTCTCTGAACCTGGCTTGTTCTGAGGATGAGGCAGAGCTGACAAACCCTGTGCTGTTGGCGAGACACACTGGATGGTATTTAAAATGAATACTTTGATCAGTTATAATCAGCAGAGGTGGCAGAATATTCAGAAAGAGCTGAGCATTAACCCCTAAAAGCCCCAGTTAGTCTACTAAGCAGAAGATAAACAACTATATTCTGCCTGCACAGATTCTTCCCCAGTGTGAAGTGCAAAGTGTGTCGCTTCCTGTGACACAAGCTGCTTTGCAGAATTACTGTCTGCTGCTGTCATATTTTATCCAGGAGTAGATATATTTAAAATATTCAGCAAAGTAAGCCTGCATGCCTGTATGTAGCCTGTTAAGCACTTTTGGATGCAATGTCTCATTCTGTAGTCTTACTTTGGCACAAACTTTCTCCCACTGCCATCAGACCACTCTCATGGATCAAGCCAAGTCTTGCAAATACCATAGATTCTCAGCTCCTTTTTGCTGGTTTTTAAATTAGCTGTAAATTGTGAGATCATATGCGGAAGAGTCTTAATTTCAAATGCTTCTAATCCTATGATCAACTTGCAAATGAATACTTGTGTTGCCTCTAATTGTGTCTCTGTACTTTGATTTCTCTGTAACGGTTGTGGTACTGTACTGGCATAAAAATTAGTACTTGTATTTGGAGTCTAAGCATTCCTGTGTGAGCAGTCAGTAGAGAGTTTGCTTCACTTTATTTCTTTTAAAGACTTTGATTATATGCAGCTTGTATTACTCTCTTGTCTGTCATAACAAAGTGCTGTTATCCTGTAAAAGAAGAAAGCACACTTGATTCTTCTTGGTTTTTTAGTTATTTAGAAGATAGATGTGCAGGCATACACTAAAATTCGTTCAACTTGGTTGAGTGTAACCAGGTCTTCAATAAGAATGTGAAGCTGGGTTTGTGCCTGGATAAAATGAAATAATTGTATGGGTTTTCTCGCATGGTTGACATGTTGAAGGAGAAATTGTCAAAACCATAATGACAGGGGAAGATAGTTGAGGTGATGTCTGTGAGGTGGTATTTAATTTCTAGACCATTATTGAATCTGAAGAATATTGCAAGTTGATGGTGAGCAAAAGTAGTTAGTATTACATTTCTACTGTGAAAAAAAAAAAAAAAAAAAAAAAGCAACTAGTCTATCCATAAGGTATCCCAGTCAGATGCAAGCCCGTCATGGTTGCCATCAGCATGCTAGCTGGCAGCTCTGGAAGATCTGAGGACACTCCAGGTCAGGGTGGTGGTGGAGGTATGTTGGCAGGGTGTTTTTGGGAAGCTTCTGCTGACGCTTCCTGGATTCAGCTTGCCAAGAGAGACAGGTTTTCACTCCTCGAGAAAGCTAATTAAATACTCAGGGTTTAATTCTAGCTGTGATACCTGGAGGATGTCAGAACATGCCTTCAAGTCTAACCACTTACTTTAGTGAGGAAATGACAGAGGATGACAAACAGAGGTACAAAAATGAGTTGATTATAATGACATTATGGACGAAACAACCTCTCTTATGGCTTATTGGTGGGATCTGTCATACAAAGGCACTTTTATTCATGAATAATTTGTATTTCTATTTCCTGGCAATTTGAATACTGACATTGCCAAACAGTAGGGAAAATTACAATTTTTTTTTTTTTTAAATGTACATCCCATTCACTAGCACTTGACCACCTTTGTTTTGGACCGAAAAGAGGCAATGATTACAGTAGATGATGGAATAAGGAAGCTGAAATTGCTGGATGCCAAAGGCAAAGTGTGGACTCAAGATATGATTCTTCAAGTGGATGACAAAGCTGTCAGTTTGGTGGACTTGGAATCAAAGGTAAGATCTGTGAGTGGCAGTCTCATTTTCAGAGAGAGAGAGAAAAAAAGGGAACGGGCAGAAAAATGATGTTTGTGAGATTTGGTATTTTAATTAGCTTATTATCACTTTCCCCTTTTAACTCGTGCAGCTTTTCTGAGATCAGGATGCTGTATAGTAAGGTGGTGTTTTGTGGTTTTTGTTTTTTGATTTTTTTTTTTTCCTCTTCCCGCAGAATGAACTGGAGAATTTTCCTTTAAGCACAATTCAGCATTGCCAAGCTGTGATGAATGCATGCAATTACAATTCAATTCTTGCATTAGTATGTAAAGAACCAACCCAAAACAAGCCCGATTTGCATCTTTTCCAATGTGATGAGATTAAGGTAAGATGGTAATGGAAATCTGCTGTGACTTATTTGAATAGGGGCAATTTTATGAATTGGAAAGTACAGTGGATAAAATCAAATGAGCTGATTCGTAGAAAATAATTCTGTTCTTTTATAAATATGCTTTAAGTTTAATGGGCTTATGATATCGACACGACTTACAGTATGTTAGTAAATGTAGCGTAGTATGTTTTGCAAGAGAGTAGTCCAGTATGTAAGCTGAAATCCTTAGTGCATGTTCAGATATGCTATTACTGTAAATATTGGATCTTGGGCTCTGTAGCTGCTCCTTTAGGTTTGCAAATGAGTAAAGCTCTGGAATATGTATATGGTTTGCATTCATGCTTCTGAAGAAAGGAGTGTAAAATTGTTTGAATTATCTCAGATTTATCTTATAATCTGCAAAGAACTCTTCCAAGCCCTTACTTAGTCTTTCCCTTTTTTCTGCTCTTTTTGTCACTGAACAATTAAACCTTCTCTACATTCTCACCTCTCTGCATCTCTGCTCTGCTGGAGAGATAATGGAAAAGAAAATACTGCTTGCAGGAGGGGCAAAACAAGAAGAGAGATTGTTCGTCTCTGATTAAAATATTTCCTTCAAGCATAAATATTTTTTTAATGTATTCTGCAATACTTCTTTATTTCCAGGGTTATAAATTTTAATTTCTATTAGTTACTGTATATAATTGGTATTTCTTCAAATTCCAGTTGATAATTTAATGGGTATTTTTTAATTCCTTTGTAGTAGTTCATATCATTGTCCTAAAACAACAGACTGCTAATTACACCATGCAATCGTTTTGAAATTGGTATAGTGAGAGTGGTGTGAAGATGACTGGTTAATTGTCTGATTTGTTGCACAGAATTTGCTGTTTCAATGGAAATGGGGATCCTGTGGGAGGTTCAGGTGGCATTATGTTGAATAATTGAGGGATCCTTGCTGAGGTCTGGTTGGATCCAGCTTCCCAAAGTGTAGAGGTGGTCTCTTTTCTTCAGACTTTCATCTTTTGAAGTTGTTCCTCTGTGTACAAATAAAAATGCAGAGCACATAAGCATGACTTGGAAGTCCAGGATCCACCTTTTCTTCTGAGGTATGGTTTGAATCTGTGACCATACCTTAGGTTTTGTTCCTTTACGCATGAGACTTGGCTCTTTTTGGAAGGTTAGTTCTTTCTCCATTGTCTTTTTCCTGCTTTTGATCAGAAGTTACCGCGAACCTCAGGAGCCTCTGCAATAAAAAATTAGTCATAATCAATAATATTTGGGGCATTCTATATTTTCTAAACAAAAAATTGTGAAATAATAAATATCAAGAGTGTGATTAATGGAATTTTGGGTTTAAGTTCCTCAGATCCCCTTAAGTTTCTCCATTTCTTACTTACTCCATTATGAGGGTACTAAGAAAGATGGGGACCTTGTAGACTGAACCAGACACTGACAGATTTGGGCTTTGACAACTTGTGTAGGAAATTAATTTGTCAGCTGAAGACGTGTAACAGAGCATTCTAAATCCTATGAGAAGCCGTGACCTATTTAATGCAAGATCTATTAAAATAATACCTGACGTGCATCAAAATTTCACCTGTGGGTCACTGGTAGAGGCAGACTGCAGTCATGGAGAGGCAGGAACCTACAGATTAGGAAATGTTCTGAAAATTAATCTTCTATTACATCAAAGGAAAATTGGAGGCTATTGTTATTTCTTAAAGGAAACTATCACTGCAAGGAACTTTCCTAATCATTTATGCTGCTACTATCTATAGTAGTTTTGCTGCTACTATCTATAGCAGATTTTTTTTATAGTATGTCTTTCCCCTAACATACTTGAGAAAAACAAAAATGACATACACAGAGGAGAAAATAGCTTATGCAATAACGGTTGACTTGAGATAATTACAGATGTTCAGACAAATTTGGTCGCTAGATGACATACTCATCTGATGATAATGCTTGAGATTGGAACAGTGACAAAAATACCAGCTTCCAGACAATAGCATTGTGTGTTTCTTTGTCCTGTTTATGTATAAAATAATTTATCCCAGAACTTTTAAATAAATGGGATTTGATAAGGGATTCTGGAATCTAAAGATGCCCTAAAAAAAGTGCATGAGGAGATATTTATTTCATATATCTGGTAGTCTGGCTGATACCTGATGGTTTCTGCTTCTGTCTCTTTAGGCTAGCTTTATTCATGAAGATATTGAAAGTGCAATCAGTGACAGCAAAAGTGGGAAACAAAAGAAGAGGCTTGAAACGCTGAGGTAAACCCCTAACTTCTTGGCGGTATATAGGTTCATCAAATAGTGTTACAGCATTCAGAATCTCTCCAAGTCTGCCTGCTGTCTTTTGCTCTTTTTTGTTAGTTGATAATATACTTCCCAAACCGTGTGTAGAGGCCTTGCTTTAATAATTATCTCCAGCTCTCTCAATTAATAGCGTCACTCTTACCATCCCTGATTCCAGCATAGTCATGGGAACAGCTGACATCAGTACCACTTGCCAGAGAATAGCATTGCATGTCTCAGTACTGCATATGGACCAAGTAGTTCAGAGTTTAAATTAAAAACATAAATGCCCCATAACTCCAAGTAAATAAGATTGTAATAAAAGGGTTTGGGGATCTAAAGATGTTAAACAAAACAGCAACAGAAGATTGAATAATCTTCCTGCCTGCCTTTTTAATGATGCTGAAGACTCCTTGTTTTCCTGGTAGGGAAGCTTCTCTGCCCGTTGGAAAATGTGGGGGAGAAGAGTCTGTTGGGTTCAGAGAAAATGAATACAGAGATGAGAGGTAGCCAACAGGGGCATAGAAACAAGGGCACAAATATATTAGATACTGAATGGTCATGGGGGTAGTTTGTTGAAAGGTTAGTATGTAACTGCGTCCTGATAGTATCTCTCAATAACAGTTTTGTGGTCCAGATAGAGAGGTCTCTGCTGGACAAAAATAATTAAGTAAAAACGTCACCATTATATGAATGAGTTTATTACAGTCTTAGCCACCTGTGAAATTCTGATGTGCAACTCATGAAGTTTTCCTAGAGTAATGGACACTTCTATAACTACAAAACAAAAACTGAACTGTGTGTAACTTTATCTCTGGGTTTAAAATCAAATAAGTAGACTTTACTGTTTGTGGGACTGTAACAAACAGGTATAAGCACAAAGAGGCAATCCAGAAGAACTCAAACACATTGGATGTGCTGGGAAACTAATGAGATTTAACTGGGAAAAGAATGTAGGTCAGTACATCTGGTGGGAAAAATAATCCAAAATATCAGTCTCTGAGGGCAATAAGGCGAAGAGGTCATGAGTGCATGACAGCATAGCGACGGTTACTCGCTGTCATATCATGTACATGCTGTTATCGGGTCACGGGAAGAGACCCTCCTGCCTGGCATTGCATTACTGAGCTGCTGCAAGGTTATTGACAAGAAGTGTGGGACATGTGGAGAACAGTGCCTGGGAGACTGGAGGAAGGAAAGGTGAAGGAAAGTTTGTTGGTTTTTTTTTTTTGTTTGTTTCGTGCTCAAGGACCAAATAACACTTGACATTTTGTTGAGTGCCATGAGTGAGATGGGATTATAAAGAGATGAATTCAAGGTGAAGATGTTGCTTTTAGGGGAAGGGTTGCGATGTGTGTATGACAGGAGTTGTTGGGGTTGTTTTTCTGTTGGTATCAAGTTGCAGAATGACTTCAAAGACCTCTTTCCTTATGGTATTTAAAACTAGATTAAGAACTGGAAAATTGGAAAATTGCAGGTGGGAACATTGATACATTTGTATCAAAACAGGCTGAACAGACCACTGATATAAAAAGGAAAAGCAGCCTCTACATTTAATTGTTTTTTTGATAGTGTTTTATGAAACAGGTGGTTAACAACCTGTCAAATTTAGGGAATAGATACTCAACTGTGATGACCTCACATTCTGTGGCACTGCTTGGGGATTTCCCATGTGGCCAGGTGATGAAGGTTTGCTAACCCCATCATGGAGGGGGTTTCCTACGATGTTTAACATATTTACACATTGTGATCTTGAGTGCTGCTTACTTGGCAAGTTCATAGTATGTTCAACAGCAGAAGAGGTCCTTGTAAAGCCTCCTTGTCCTCTCTGACTAAGCACTAGAAAATAGAATGTTTCTCCTGCAAGTGTCACTTCTGGGCTTTCTTCTCTTCCTCTAGGATGATCTCCAAAGCTGACAGCACCATTCCTCCGCCGCCGCAGGCGCCTGCTCCTGTGCCACCGGGGACCGTCACCCAAGTGGACGTGAGAAGCCGCGTGGCGGCGTGGTCCGCCTGGGCTGCAGAGCAGGGGGAGTGTGAGTATTCCTGGGAGCCCGCTGCTGCAAGTGCGGTGACAAACAGTTGTTCTGGGCAGTAGGCTTTTGTGATCCTCGGTAATAACAAAAATAATTTGGAAAGACCACTTTCATGAAGATTACAGTAACTGAATGCAGATACAGAAATGATTGTACGAGGTCACTTCTCTGCCCTTGCTGAGAGCAGACAGGATTATTCTTCCAGTCTAGTTTGAAATGCCCCAAGCCACCATTGCCTGATCTGGGGAATGAGACCTGACTGTCATAATCTGACGTGTCATTTATTTGCACTTATCCATTGTCTGAATTTCTCTTCAGAGCTTCGTTTACTTGTGTTGGGGGTGTGGGCTGCCGATTTTAACCTGGGCTTTTTTGTGAACATTAATAACATTCACAGTAGTCAGTACTGTCCTAAATATAGTAATTTAATGACGCTCTCTTTAGTAACAGTGAAAGCATAGGCCAGATATTTTGGACAATTAAAAAAATATAATCATGGATTAAAAGCCGACTAGAGATCAGCATTATTTATTTATTTTATATTTATCATTATAATGGCCTGTATGGCTAAACCAGTTAGGGGGTTTGTTGGGTTTTTTTTAAGCCTGAACTAAGGAATGCTGTAGCATTTCTGATGGGTTTGAATTTTTTCTGTGTTTGTTTTTTTAAAATCTCTAATGGAGCCATTTTTTGGTGTGTTTTTTTTTTTCTTCTAATAATAGACACTAAAATTTTAGAATTAGAAATCATTAACCATGGAGTCTTTACCATTTTTGGTTTATTAAACTATATCACTCAACAAAGTACACAACTATGGAAAGAAAACAACTAAAAATATTCAGAGAAATCTGTAATGTTGAGAATGTTTTTGTCTACTAATCTACAATGTTACATCTATCTTGAGTAAAGGCTAGTTTGTTCTTCTGTTTGACTTCTCCTCACTTCAGAAAAGTTTCATCAATTTGTCAAGTTTTGTCAAGTTTGCCAGACCACTTGTGGATCTGAGTTCCTGCAGTGCCTTTTTTTCCATTCATGTGGATCTTCTCTAAAATGTATTTACTAAAATCCAATCTGTTAACAAAAGTAATACAGTATTCAGTGCAACTTAAAAATGTAAAGCTTGTAATTTCTCAAAATGTAAACCTTTTTGCTTTCAAATAGAAGTCACTGACTGTCCATTTTTATTGGGAAATACCTGTTTTATGACATCATTGTCTCCCATTTCTGTGTTGCCAGACTTGGTCACTCTGCCCAAATTCCTACATCCCTTTTTGCTTATTACCTTTTACATCAAAATTTTCTTTGAAGTCACGGCTAAGCTCTTCCTTCTTTCTCCCTTCCTTCTGCTGGAGTAGCTTTCAGCATATTTTGCAAAATGGGATTATTTCTCATTACGTTGTATTTATAATCGACCACTTTCTGCTTTAATTTTTTTTATTTGGTCACTGGTACCACACTTTCATGGTTAACTTCATTTATGCAGCTGAGTTGACTGAAAGCACACACCTACGCCTTTTTTTTTTTTGTGAGACTTGGCAGGATCAGGCATTAGGATGCAAGATTTTCAGACGGCAAGAAGTCCTTACAAAGCGAACAGTACAAACATTCCCCATCTTTTTTTTACAGCTGTGTGATTTCAAGCATAAGCTGTATAGGAAGTGTTGGTTACTAATTCTGCATATTCTCTTCTTCCCCTTTCTGCAGTTGAAAAACATAGACAATACCATGATCATGAAGAAACAGCAGAGATGATAGCTGCCAGGATTGACCGAGATGTTGTAAGTGAGAAACTCATGCAATATTGCTTAACGTCTGTGAAATGTTGCAGTTCTACTTCATGAGAAGGCTTTTTCCACATGGGAAATTCAGTTCTGGAGGAAAGCTTTCCAGGCAGCCTATGTTTGTGTGGTAGACCTAAAAATGAAGAGGCGGTAGTTCTTTTTCTTATTTTTTTTTCTTTAAAAAAGAAAGAAAAAGAAAAAAAAAGTACTGAATGTTGATGCAAAGTTTTCTGCTGTGAAGAGCTAGAAATATAAATACTAATTTTATGTGGTAGATCAAATTCAGCAAAGTATGTAAGGATAAACAGAAATTCCATTAATTTAGTGAGACTTAGATATGTGCAATATCTGGGAAATGAACATATAGTCATTTCTGATATTGCCTGTAAGCAACAACATTGGGCAGATCTTATGATGTATGCAATATCAAATATTGACCCATCTGTCAGTTCTAACTTTCTACTTGTCTATTCTGATGTTGCCCTCAGCAACATCTGAGGGTCTTGAGGAAAACATGTTGGGGCCTGCTGAATTGGTGTATACATGTTTTCCCCAGGGGCTCTGTCATTCTCCTCCACTTGCTCTTTGAAAACAATTCTTCAAAGAGTACTTCTATAAAACTACATTCTGACATTCAACAACCAGCTTAATACTTTGTACTAAAGGAGATTATGAAGTTATACTGTTTAAGAAAATGCTGTCCTACACAAATAACTAGATTTTTTTTCCCTCCATTGTCCGTTGTGAGAGAAAATGTAATGCGTGAACGAATTTATGTAATTCCAGTCTGAATTTAATAATCTTGATGCTTATATTTTAAAAAACTTCCAGTGGCTCTAAGTTTTAAAAAATCTAAAATTTAAAATACCTTACAGGTTTGTAAAGTTAAGAACATCATGAATCTAAATAAGCAATGTTCTAGCATGGACTTTGTTCCGAGGAAGCTGTTGGTGTCTGTGAGAGTAGTCTTTTTTGATCTCTGGAGTATTTCTGCTATAGGTTCTGTAGAGAAACTGTTACTTTTCTTTCCTCCCATAGCAAATTCTGAACCATATTTTGGATGACATTGAGTATTTTGTAACCAAACTTCAAAAAGCTGCTGAAGCATTTGCTGAACTTTCAAAGAGGAAGAAAACTAAGAAAAGTAAAAAGAAAGGTCCTGGAGGTAGGAGTTCTTACTGCACACAATTTTGTTTCTCTAAGGATCATTGAAGTAGCTAGCAAATGTGTCTTTTTGTGTTGTTCAAGAATGTAATAATTTTCTTTCACTTTGAGCACAAAAAATCCTATGCAGTATATTCTTAGAGGGGAACCTATGAAAATTATTTGCTTGAAGTCAGTGAGGAGCGACTACTTAGAGATATGACTGCAGAATATGCTCACTGTTGTGGCTCTATATTTATGAAATTCTGTAAGTTGGTAAATTTATTATGTATATATATGTTTACTATACCTGTAATATTTATAGAAATTATATCACATATAAAAATCTCATTTTGTTCACCAGAGGGAGTTCTTACTCTCCGTGCAAAACCACCACCTCCAGATGAATTTGTTGACTGCTTCCAAAAATTCAAGCATGGCTTCAATCTTCTGGTAAGTGACTTCTAGTGGATACACTGGTGTGAGGCATGCAGTAACAGTTTTTTCCTGAGACTGTTGCTGTTAAGTATAGCATGATCTTTGTTTTCCCTGCTGCTACAAATTAATTTGGGTGTCAGGTTTGCTGCATTTGTTTTCCTATGTTTTATTTCACTAGTATGAACAGAAGAATTAAAATTCTTGGGAAAGATGAAGAGGAGAAGGAAGAATCAGTAACATAGCGGATTTGCTTTGTAGTTATTTTTAAGTAGAGTTTTCTTGGAGGTTCCGCCTATTCCAGAGGGTGTGGATGTTTTATTGCTGACTCCCCTGAGGGAACTGCAGAAGGTTATCTTCTCTTTGGGAATGTTTTAATCAAGTCTTCTGCCTTCCGTCTAACTTTCCTGGTGTCTGGTTCACGTAGAGAAACCTTGTGGGTCGTAAATGTGCTACTGCTGCCAGCTGTGCTGAGGTGGCCATGCCATCCGGGGAATTGTGAGCGTGGGTCTGCGTTGTCTTCATCTCCAGTGCTCTTTCAGAAGGAGCAAACCCACAAGTATCCTCTTCAAGAATGCTAATATACCTGGAAATGTAATCTTGTTCAGTCCTTGGCTGACACACAGGAAGATAGCTCAGCTGATACTTGACTGATCTTGAATGTTCACCTTTTCCTTCTCCATCCAAGGCTGAACTGAGAAAAGAGCAGAGACCACCTCTGGCCTAGGTTGGCCTTTGGGCCAGCTTTGGGATGCTGCTCCTCAAGGGCTCTACATGGTGGCTAGACGAGCGTATATCTTTTTCAGCATTGTTGTGTTTCTTCTTTTACTGGTTCTTTAAAGCCTTTTACTTGGGAAATTTGAGTTTAAATCGTAAAAGAATTTCTAGGAACATCTGTTGGGATCACGGTTCCGTTGCATGCTTGCCAGCACCACCAGCTGTGGCCTTAATTTAGTTTTATTCAGCTATGCCTATCAGACTCTCTGTGCTTGTTGCCATCATTACATAGGACCTTTCTGGCCTCAGAATACTCTATCCAACAAATTGCTGTCGCTTTATAGGTTCTCAACAAGCAGAGATGCTAATTCAAGAGCCTTCTCCTGGCATCTCCTCGTCTGCAAGTGCTATTAAAGGAAGGCAGCAAGTGGGACACCTTCAAAGCATTTGCTTTCAGATACTGGCTGTCCCTTCCAATTGCTGGGGAAGCTATGCCAACTGGAAAATTTGTTCTTCCATTCACTGAGTCAAATCAGCTTTTTCTTCCTCTTGGGGAATGAATTCTGATTGCAGGGATGTAGGTGATATTTAGAAATGTTAAGAATATGTATTTTTTTTAGAAAAACCCTATGTCAAATGCTGCGATTCTGACCTTAAAGGATTTCTGGTTTGGGGGGACGGATGTCTTAGAACATGCTGATCCTTCTCACTAATAGTGCATTCTTTTTCCCATTCTTGCTTCTTACTGCATTCTGCATTTACATTAGTTTTTCACCCACAAACAATGTGTGCATCTTTGAATCTTTATCTCCTGTGCAGGAGAAGAAGCTCAGCCGCATCTAGGACATGGTTTCTAATGTGGCTTTTGAAGAGCTGTGCTGTAACAGTGCTTTACTTCAGCATCACTGCAGGAGCCATGAAAGCCTGAAATTTCAGTTCCTGGTGCTTTATGTCAGACATGGAGAACTGTATAAAATGAAGAATCTAGTTTAAAAATAAAAGGAATAGCTAGAAGAATAAAATCTTTGCCAGTACAATGGAAACTGGTTTAAAACGTGATGCTGGAAGCTCCTAGAAAATGCCTACCGTCTGTTAAAAAAACTTTAGAAAGACCAAAAGAAAGTTGTTATGACTGAAGAACAATGTATAGGAAGTTATTAGAAGTAAAAACACATCCTCCTCCTTTCTTCATTTGGAGGCACACTCTGGAAGGCTAGATGTAAAAGTAGAATGAGGCTAGCCAAAAGCAGTTTGAGGAACAGATGGCAAGATGCAATAAAAACTATCATAACTTTTTAAAACACATTCCGGCATGCTTCTAACTTCTGGAGCCTGCAGGGCTAATGGTGATCAGTAAAGAAAAGAAATCCTCCAAGAAGCTGTATCAGAGAAAGTGTTTGATCTTTTTTTTATGCATATATGAACTTGGAAAAGCTTGATAGCGGACAATATGTTAGTGAAAACCTTTTTTTTAGGGGTGGCACATGAGATTATCTGTTTCAAATTGAAGAACTGGTAATGGTTTAAAGAACAGCAAATTACGGGCAGATGAATAGAAGCTCTGTTTGAATGGACACCATTCATCCATCTATTCTAAAAACCAAATCAGCAGACCACACGGTATGGTGTGTAACCTCTCTCAAACTGCCTTTCTTCCAGAGGAAGAGAAGTGGTTAAGGTAATGCTGATAATGTTTAAAGTCATTCGGAGGATCTGAGGGACTATGACAACCAGGTACCCCTGAGGTACCCGCACATGGGATGCAGTTTGTAGGCAGGTATATTAAATTGAGAAAGAAGTAAACATGCATCTTGCAAAACAAAACAATGTCTACAAATCCATCAATGCTTTGATTTTGTTTCTTTGGATTTCCAAAACACATCCAGCAAGGTTACACATGCTGAAGTTCTTAAAGAAACTGTAAGGTTGAACGTAGCTTGTTAGATTCTTGTTGAATCTAAGATTCTTGGTGAAATAGAAAACAAATTATAGGACTAAAATGATAGTTCTCAAAGTGCAGTAAATTCAGCAGTGAAGTCCCACACATGCCTCTGCAGAGGCCTTTGCTGCCCAACATATTTACAGGTGTTCTGGCAAATGGAGAGTGTAGAGTCTGCAAATGTAGAAATATCTCATGATAGCAGATAAAGTGACACATGAAATTCAATACTGATACATATGATAGAGCATGAACAGGTGGGGAAAAATCTCATATAGCGAATGAGAACAAAATATTGCTGTAACACAGATTCCTGTGAGAATGTCATCTGTGTTCAATGGTGATCAACCAAGCAAATGTTAAGAACCATTAGGGAAAAAAAAAAGAAAATTAACAAATAAAGAGTGTCAATTAGGAAAAGACTAAACAGAGGAAGAACATAATAAATCTCTAAATGGTTATGAGCATCACTGGAAAAAGCGAGTAGAGAAGGATTGCTCAGTTTTCAGTTAGAAAAGAACTACAGAATACTAATGGAACTAAGAGGTGGCAAATTTCCAAAGGATGCTTCTTTACAGAGCACATAATGCACTTGCAGAACTTCTTGTTTTGCACAATAGGTGCTAAAGATACACATGGACTCAAAAGCAACTGGATGAATGAGCTCTTGCACTTTGCGGATGTTGCAAACAAAACACTGGGCTTAGGCCGACCTGTGGCCTGAGCAGGGATGGCCGTTCTTATGTGAAGTATTTACTGTCATAAAAGTTAACTGTTTCTTAAAATGTATCATTTTCTCGTTCCTTCAGGCCAAATTAAAGTTCCATATCCAGAATCCTAGTGCAGCTGAACTGGTTCATTTTCTCTTTACCCCACTACATATGGTAAGGTTTTATAATTTTCTCAGGATTTTCCTTCAGAACTCTTGTATTTGTATGCTCAGTAACCTTTTCAAGGATATCAAGATTGAAATGTTGTGTCCCTGGACAATAACTAAGGAGAAATGCGTGTATTTCAGGATGAGGTTCTCCTTAGAAAATTATTTATACCCTTTTCTGCTTATATTCCCATCCATTAAATATATTTATTTAAATCAACTTTAGCTTTCTGTGTTACAGTTTGCCATTATAATTTTTAATTAACAATAAAAAATTGAGATAATTTACATAATGCAGGAGGAGAGTTGAAAGCATAGCCATATGTCTATTTAATGGAAGTATATGTGGTTTTGATCAGTAGAGCAAAGATAACACTGCCAAAAGTGGGTCTAAATATAAAATGGTTGGTGACCAGAACAGCAGTTCTTCTGCAATAAGTGGCTTAGTTAATCTATAGGACATTAAGACACATTATTAGCTTCTCAGAGTTTTGGGAGGGGGTGTTCTTGTGAGTAATAAACGTGTCCTAGCAGCACTGTAGGTAACCTATACTCACAGTAACTTCCTTCCTTACAATGTGTGTGTTCTTTGTATTATTTTAATACTTGGATTTAGGTGGTACAGACAACAGGAGGTCCAGAGCTTGCTGGTACGGTACTCAGCCCCCTCTTAACAAAAGATACTATAGACTTCCTGCGATATACTGTCACCAGCGAGGAAGGACAGTTGTGGATGTCATTGGGTGACACATGGACCAAAGCCAGGTGAGAAAAAGCCTTTGCATATTTTAGACGTGATCTCTAAACTCGAGTTTATTGATGTGATCTTAACCAGGTTATCCACCCCCCAATAAACTCAATATTACTTTGTTAGGCTTTGGACTCTTCAGAACTGTTCTTTGAAGTTTTTGGAAAGGAACTCTTCAGCCTCAGTGGGATTTGGGAGTGATTTGATTTTAGGGGTCTCAAGGGGGAGAAAATGCAAACAGAAATTTTTGGTTTGCTCATGGTATGGAGAACCTATTGACATAACCTTTTTGCAGTCATTTTTCCTGAACTGTCCCTTGCATATTTCCAGTTGTTTTTCAACATTATTTTTCCAATGCAGCTATCTGGACTTCATTAAAAAATCAGTTTGAAGAAGCTGCAATAAAAAGTGACAAAATATTGAAGAACACAATGCAGAGTTCTATTTTCAATTTCCAATAATTATCAAAAGCTAAAAATTTACAATGCCTTTACTTCTTCAAAAACATCATGATGCTAAAAAGGAAATGCTTATAATTTTTAAACAATTATTGGCCGAACTATATTACACGTGCATACCCTACATGTTGCATGTAATGGAGTCACTATTATGGTTAGGCTTAGATAAAAATTAACTATTCTATGCATTTGTTGTTTTTGAGGAAAGTATATGATCTGAAATTACTTAGGGAAATAGAATATGCAAAAGAAAAAGTTTAAATTAGCAAAGTGCGTTTCAACTCTGTAATCTGTGGTAGATAAGTACATTTGATAATGATTAAGTATGCAATTGCTTGGGCTGGAAATGCATCATGTATTTTGTGTTCATTCATCCTTGCTCTTAGATTTCAAATTGGAACGTAAACATCTACCAAGTGGATTTTTTTAATTAATTGATTGATTACAAAGTAGTTGAGTGTTTTGCTGGTAAGGAAGGCTGCATAGAAAGCCCTAGAGTGTGTAGTGACATCCTCAGAGTAGGGGGGTGACATACTGGTCGTTCCCTTCCTTGAGCTCACTCTGCTGCAGGACCAGGAATGTCCAAATTCATCCTTTGGGCCTATCATTTGGACTGCTACTAAAAAATGAGCTGAAAACAGGAATTGCAGCTCCTTGTGATTGCCAGAAAGCTTACCCCAGCAAAGCACCTTCCGCTTGCCTTTACCTGTTTCAAGCTATGCTGGCTTCATAGCAGTGGAGATTGCCTCATATCATTGAAGCCCCATGGATGAGTGGGTAGAATAATGTTGTTCTTGTCTTGGGAGCTACCATCGTCATTAATTTAGTCCATCCTGAAAAAAGTTTGGTGGAAAGAGAAGTAGCTCATGTTGGGTAGTGAAGAATGAAGTGCATAGAACATAGTTGGTTGACCTGTGCAGATTAGAAATCATGGTCTGATTGATCTCAGTAGATACACTGTGTTGTGGTGCAGCGGGAGAGGTGAATGACAAAAGTCAAGGGTTACTGACCTAGCTCAGGCCTGCTAATGGGCTAAGTGATTGCTGACTGCTCCTGCAACTTGTGTGACTGGCAGCATTTGTCCCTTAATTTTGAGCAGTGTCGACAACGACGCTGTTAAACGACTGTAATGTGCATTCCTGTTTCTGCTTTCACTGTGAAGATACAGTAATTTATATTGTGGGACAGTCTGTTATGTGTAGTGCAAAGGCAGGGCATGAAAACGTTTATTTAGGTATTTTGTATTACAATAGGGAATACTAATGGAGCTCTGAAAAGTAATACAGTACTTTAAAAAGATCAATCTGGACTATAACACAGCAAATGTGATGATAATTCTTGTGTCTTGCAGCATTTAGAGTTGGGTTTTTTTGCCAGTAAAAGCTATTTTTTTAACTTCTTTTAGGTGGAGCTAGGCCCCCTAAGCTTCATACCTGCTTTCAGACTTTCTTATAAAGCAGGCTGCTGCTTTGATGTCTTTTGTCTGGTGCTTTAACACACATAAAGCGTTTGCAATATTTTTTCCCCATCTAACAGTTAAAACAAATCCTAGATTTGTTTGTGATTGATTCTTCTATTACTCATCCTTTGCTGCAAGACAGAAATTTGTTATGTTTTACCACTAACAAGTCCTTACAGCAGGAGCAGTTTCTTTCTGCAAGGCACAGCAGGGAGCATAGTTGTGGTCAATAAATGTTTTCTGCTGATTTTCTGTGTTCTAGCACAATTCTGCCTGTACCGTAATCCCAGCCTCTCCTCTATACTAATAAAAATTCTAAAGCATTTCAATTTTTAGGAAACATATTAAACCAATATTTATATGGCCCTTGGTACAGATCTCTAATTTACTTTTCACACAGAGCGGATTGGCCCAAAGACCATTTTATTCCACCTTACGTCCCCCGTTTCCGAAATGGTTGGGAGCCTCCTTTGCTGAACTTCATGGGAGCTCCAAAGGAGCAAGAACTCAATCAGTTAGCTGAGTCCGTGGCAAATGTTGCAGAGCAACAGCGGAAACAAGAAATGAAGAGACTGTCAACTGAGGTAGGTTACTGGCGACAGCGTTTTGTAAATTAGCTGAAGGCAACACCAACTGCTTCCTTCATTAAGAAAATATTCCGTGACATTATTGGAATAACCATGCCCTGATGTCTCCTACATCAGCGCAAGCTCATTGTACTTATGTTAAAGTTATACGAATCAAATAAGTGTTCAGCCACCAAAAATGTGATTAGGAAAAATATAAGGCTTTTGCCTACTGCTCTCCTTGAACTTCATGCGCTTCCCCACCTCCCTTGGGAGGACAGTCCAAGCCCCTATGGTTCAGTTTGGTTCTTGACCTGTGCTTTCATTCAGATCCCATTGATTTTGATCGTATATACTTCAGGTAGAATGTGAACCAAAGTGTTCTCAAGCATGCATCCATGCACAGGCACATAGACAAAAAGAAAAAAATATCACTTTTTAGGGAATTCTGGAGTTAAGCTGCTTCCTCACAAATGTGGAATTTAATACTCCTTTCATTAATTTCTTGATACTTCCACTGTATTGCAAGCAAGTATTTGGAGGTGCTATCAGAGTAATGCCATGTCAGGTAATTTAGGCCTACTTCTGAAAAACAGCTGCCAATTAGAAGAACATACAGAAGTTTTAGTTTTGGAAGCTTTTCGTTGTTGGGAGGACATAAGCTTTAATTTAAAATTTTAATTTATTTTTCTATGCTAGCTTCAGTTTCAATCAAGTGTTAGCTAGTCCAAGATCCCCTGTAAGCAGCTGTGGAAGTGGAAGTGCACCTAAGAATTTTCTAGGTTCAGTCCATAGTCTTCCTTATCTTCCTCAAGTACGGTATTTGAAGTACATCTTGATGTATATCTCCATGATACTGGATTTTATCTTAAGTTTGTAATATATATATAATATAAATATTTATCTGTTAGTGAAAAAATGCACATATGGAAGAAGATTCAAGGGAAGGATTACTGGCTGTTGTGAGATGGCGTTCTCTCGCAGAGCGATTCTCTGATTGGAGACAACAAAGCTTCCCCAGCAAAGGTGTATCAAAACTGCCTATGGAAAGCTTGTCACAATAAAACTTTGTTTTCATGAAAATCTCCACTAGTCCAAAGAAAAAGTCTACTCAGCTACAGAGACAAACAAAATTTGGGTAAAAAGTCTGCCAAGCAAAGGAGGATAACATGGTACATATTTGATTACTTAAAACACTGTTTGGCTTTATGCCTAACAAGATATACAAGAATAAATGTACCAAACCCCAAGTTACTGCCAGTGATTTCATTTTGAGCAAAAAAGCATTTAGTGAAGTTACTGGGCACAATAATGTGAAATGTAGCTGTCGCCATTGCTGCCACCCCCTTCCCTAGTCAGCTCCCAAACAAGTCTCAGCAAACGTTGTCTCAGGGTTTCGCTACTGCTCTACGTTTCCATGCAGGTTTTTTTGTATACATTGTGCTCCTTCTAAATTAAAAGGAAACAAACAAACAAACAAACCCAAACAAAGAACAAACAACCCCCCCAAAAGGCAAAATGGTATTGAAAAAAGAACATTAATTTTTCTGTCCTGATGATTGTAATAATTTAATTTGTTATTTTTATATATATACTTAGTTAAAACAAATTTTTGGGGGGGAGGAGCAGGTAGAAATACATTGAGGGATTTTAGTTGCTTGTGTTTCAGGGAGTTCATGCTCTTCTTTTTGGTGCCAGTAACATTAGTTGGATTGGCAGTTTGTGCCAGCTTAGCCTCTTCATCTTAATCATTAGAAGACGAAAAAAGTACAATAAATCCCAGTTCACTGAAGGTGTTTTTGTGCCTGGCACCTGGGACGCCAGGCCTTGGTTTCATGCCTGTTGCTGGTTCCCGCGTGGTCTTGGGCAGGGCGTTTAACCTCGGTACCTTGGCTCCCTGCACCAGTGCCGCCTCGGCACATCCCAAGGGGGAAAAGCACTGAGCTGCTTAATAGCTGTCAAAAGCTGTAGGTGCTCAGCTGAAAAAAGCTGCATGAGTGCAAAATGCTGTTTGTCTGCAGCAAAAGGACTGCACTGGAGTGGGTGATACCAGCGCAATTATTCTTTCCTAAGTCTGCCGTAACAGCTTGTTTAACAAAGGGTGCTGGAAAAAAATAAGATGAGAATTTAAGTGTTCATCTCTTGCCGCTAATTGGCCTCGTGTCTTGGTGTGACACTGCTCTCCCGAGGGCCGAGGCTGGGTGTGGAGAGCTGTGCCACGCTGGCAGTGGAGAGAGGGGGCCTGCGGCTGCCCCGGCTGCCCTCCTTCCGCAAAGGGCATCGGGGGTTCCCGCTCATGAGAACCCTTGGTTTTCTTTCCATTCCTGGATGTTAAGGTGTAGCCACAGAGAGAGCTCCCACGGTGGAGTCAGTTCAGCAATGAGGACTTCAAACGCTTTCCATTCCTGGATGTTAAGGTGTAGCCACAAAGAGAGCTCCCACTGGAGGGGCTTCACGGTGAAGTCAGTTCAGCAATGAGGACTTCAAATGGCAGTGAAACAACGGGGAACTGGTGATAGAGAGTCCAGTGAGGTTAAGGCAGCGCAGATAATTTGTGTGTGAAACAAAAGGAGTTCCTGCTTCCTGGGTGTCTTTTGATGTAAGGTATAAGCTCGGTGATGCTTGAGATTTTTTTCAAAGTTGTCTTAATAGTATAGTTTTAAAGAATATTCTATGTGTAGGGTGAGGGTGGGTTGTGTGGTTGTAATCTCTTTTCATAAGCCCTCAGCCTCATAGGCAAGTGTCTCTGGGTGCCAGGTCAGATACTTGGAGGTAGAAATTAGGTGAGTGGCTTTTCTGTAGCCACACAGATGGGGAAAAAAAGCAAAACCAATCCCCCTGCCCTGCAAAAAAACCCAAAACCCAAACCAAACCAAAAAACCACCGCCAAGAAAACCAACAAACCAGGCTTAGAGATTTGGCAATTTCTGACGAATCTCAGCTGTTCTAACTTGTGCAACTGAATGGTGGTATAAGGAAAATATCTAGGACGAGCAATTTCAATATCATAATTTCCAGAAATGAACTGCTTACCTTGTTTTTGTTTTGAGGAATGGTGGTTAAAATAATTCTTACTCAGAAGCAGAGTATCATTGCTGGATTTAAGGTGCTTTTTTTTTTTTTTTAAAGGACTGCTATATGAAAAGAATTTCCTAAAGCCTTGAATATTCTTATATGTGTGCTTGTGATAAATTGTGATTATTTTCCTTAATTATATCAACTATCACATTCATTTTTGCACTTCTTCTTTGACTACAGTCATGTTCAGTGAGAGGGTGACATAAATGAGCCACTTGATACTATGATCCTGCAATAGAGTGATAATTTTACTTGGGAGGTTTTATTTCTTATACAGATTTACTGTTAGCTAGCTAGAGGTTTCTGGCTTTTAAGTGTACATCTAGAACAAAAGCTCAAAGCGGTTTCTGAGTGCAATTTATTTTAAAGCCATTCAGCCATTGTTTCCAAGTTGTGTTGCTGTAGCGATATCCGAGAGATGACACGGACCTTGCCCCAGAGAACTGTTTTTCGAAAGAATATCCACTGCAATATTAATGCAGTGGGATGACATCGGATAGAAATTCTTTTATTCTTATCCTTTTGATCTCCCTGTTTATGTATTTGAAATGCAGAAGTTATTAACTTTTCATAGCAGAACCGTGAGCACCTGAGGACACGTGAATGCTGACAGAGACCCTGGGGGTGCTGGATTAAGTGAAGTAGGTGGTGCCGCTGATGACACTAATCCACTTTGTGGCTTTGTTTCTTTTTTGTCTTCCAGCCTCCCAGTGTTCCCGACTACCCTCCATCCGACGGGTATGCATTCAGTAACACAGTTTACAAAAGAGGGCCTCTGCTGGACCAGGGGGCGGCTGTCGCTGCCTTTAAGCAAACTGTTAGCCGACATGTAGATAGGTAACACTGAATCAACGGCGTACGTGGTGCTGTGGATAACTGTCCCGACTTAATGCTGTTGGGGTGCCGGTGTCTGTAATTAGCTCTGGCTGTGTCTGGAGCAGATCGTTATTTCTATGCGGAAGCGATTCTGGTTAGCAGTGGGTATTCTGCTTTTGCCTCTCTGAGGCACGTCATTAATTAGGATAATTTTTATGGAACTACCTTGTTCGTGTATGCTGTTAAATCAATGCTTTTGTCAAAAATGATATAGTGGAATTCCAACCCAATTGAGAACACAGAATCTTCCGATGTGGGTTCAAATTATATTTCTGCTTTGTTTCATGTTTTTAAATATACTCTTTGCTCTTCTCAGAACTACAGAGAATGACAAATCTGCTCTGAGATTCATCTGTCCTTGTTTTGAATGATTGTTTGATTTGTTTAGCTGCTGACCTCATGCTCCATAGCCTCCTGCTTTTTGTTTTCTGGGCTGGTGTGTAAATATCCACTTTCAGAATAGCAACTCCTCGTTTCTTCCCTTCTCTTTCAAATGTTACAAAAAATGCTCTGAAATGTTTGCATAGCAGCCAGCGTCTTTTTGCACATCCTCTTTTATCTCCTTCATTTTAGCCTAAATCCAAATAGTTTGACAAGATCAAATGCAGTGATCCTTGGAGTCTCAGCCTTGTCTGTGGGGAGAATTTATACCAGTACAAACTGTGGAAGTAAATTGGTAAAGCGGTGTTGGAATTGCTCCCCCATGCCAAACCATACCATAGAATCATAGAATACCAGGTTGGAAGGGACCATAGTCTGTATACACTAGAGGAATAGTATTTTAGTTTATGTGCCATGGAAGATGCTTAAGATGCTTTTGGGGATCAGATTGCTGCTTAAGACATTAATATAACTCTTTTGATGAAAACCTTTGCATAACACCTAGTTTTGAGCTATGTGCTAAAAGATCCTGTTAATCTGCATGCAAACATATCCCCACATGGTGTGCAGAGTGAAGACTCGATTTTTTTCCTGAACTTTAGATTTATTCTCCATAACAACAACAGCAGTAGTAGTCATCTCTAATCTTTTTCTTAACTTTAGTTACTTTCTGGGTTTTTGTCTCAGGACCAGTCAGCTTGAAATCTAGATGATCGTTACTCTAAATTCCTTTCTCTCTTATCTGTAACATGATAAGACCTGTTTTGTCCTTTTAGAGGAAGATTATGCCATGCAGATGGTGTTATCTCTATTTCAGGTTTAGAGAATGGGGCTTAGTGCATTGAGCTATTGATGATATCAGTGTATCTGACTGCAACTGGAAGAGTCACCCAAGCCTCCTTTGTGGCCAGTAAAGAGAAACGGGTGTTTCTAAGTAGTTCATGTAAGGTGAAATTAGTCTTTTGAAAGATAGGAAATGAGACATGCTGTAGTGGTGCCCGTTTCTCACCACTGATTGCAGGAGGGAGCCTAGATGGCTGGTACCGATGCAAACATCCAGAGTGTGCCTCTATCTCCCAGTCTGTTCAGCATAACACAAACTTCCATTTGTTAATTGGCTCCTGAGACATAGAATACATGCCCGGTAGGAGCTCATTATTGGGGAAAAGCTGTGGATATGTATTACCCCAAGTAACTTCCATTTAAAGATAATTTTTAAAGCATCTGTGAAGAAGCAGGTGGAGGAGTGGGTTTGGAGGAGGGAGTGAGAAATTCAAGCTGACCCTTTCAGCCATCCTTTGCTGGTCCTTGTTCAGAGCTGGCATTGCTAACGAGCCATCTGAAAGCAGTGACTGAGCCACCCACTACCTTCTGAGGGACAGGTAGGTTACGCCTTCTCCAGGGAATATTTAGTCACAGGGAACTTCAGTGAACCTTATCCCAACATGCCAGGACCTCCAGTAAGGTGTGTATTCCTCGGGTGACTTAAACTGTTAAGGTCTTAAACTTCCAGTATGTTACTAAGCATATCGGGGACTCTCTCTGATGCTAGAAGAGTACAGAATAGCTTTTCGGCAAGTTATGTGGTGCTTCAAAGCAGTATGCTCTGTAGTTTGGGTTTGTGCTGTCATTTGTGAAATAGCACCCTGGGAGTCTGTGCAACCTGCTAGTCCATAGGAGAGCAGAGGGCTGCAGTTGCAGCGTATCCAACAGGCAATAAGAAAACACAGTGGAGGGGGGATGGAGGGAAGCGCTGAGAATATTTGTGCCCCAAACAAACTGTTTGGCTCATTAAGCTGGGCTTGAGGAATTCTACAGTCTCTTGAGAAGCATACAGCCAGTGCCTGGCCTGTGTTCTGGGGATGTTGCTGTTGATTGCAACAGAGCTGAGTAAAACTGAAATGTAAGCATTTTATTTATTTTTTTTTTAAATTCTTCCTGAGTTACGTTTTTTGATGGGATCAGGATGGTTAGGTGTGGACAAATTAGGAAGACACAGTCAGTGAAATGAGTTTGGAAAGGCCGCCTAAAAGTAAAAGTACCTTCAGAAGGATGTTAGTCATATCCCTGAAATAGTAAGAAAAGAGTTCAAAATTATATAAATTTTGGCTGGGTGGCGGAAAAAATTTGGATTACTCACACGTCTTTCAACCTCATAACAGCTGTTCTTCAGCCTAGGGTTCATCCCATGTTTTTCACTCTCTCCTTAAATTCTTTTAGTATTTTGCCTTCCTTTCAAAATAATCTTTCAGTCTAAATATGACTCTTCCTTTGTTCTGCTCTTCAAGTCAAGTGAGACAGTTCTCCACAGCCATGCAATAGCTAGGTAACTACTGGATTGCTCAGGTACACCTGGGAGCCACGGTTATAGAGCACCAACATCAGCAACCACCTGCATTTGTACCCCTGTGCTATGGTGTTGTATGAAGCATTTCAAGCCATTGATTGTTTCATGTTTTCATTATCCATTTTTTCTTTTTTCTTTTTTTTTTTTTTTTTTAACTTCACTACCTGGAATGGATTTGGATTGTTGGGTATAATTTGCAATAACTGAACAATGTTACTGGTTTTTTGGACCTGTTTTGAGGGGACTGGGGGGCTTATCACTTTGAAGAGGTACTATGTCAAAGAAACTAGTAGCTTGTTATGCAGAGACAATCTGAATAGATCTTTCCTGAAGGAAACAGAAAGATGTAGAGTTATACTGTGGTATGAGTTTTTCTACGATGAACCCTGTCTGTAACTGCCAAGAAGTTATTTTTAATTGATACAGTAACTTGAGGTTGTTAGAGTTGATGGTGTCTTATGGTCAAGATCTTATGGACCTACAGTAGACGAGCATTTTTGAAATAAAGTTTCATTCCATTGGTGTTGATGGCAAAAATTTATTCATTTATTGTTTGTTTGAAACTTCATTTATGATCAACACTAGAAATAGTTTCATACAAAACACAAGCTACAAAGTATATACTAAGTGTAGTCATTTGTTTATAAGGCAAATGATTGTTTAACCTACTGTAGGAAAACAGACTAAATATAGTGTACACATTTATCTTAATACAATGGCACCTGCTAATCTTAGTTGTTATCATACATCTTGCAAGCAGTGAGCTGATAAAGCTTACCAGTTCTTGAGGTCCATGTAGCTCAACTGCTTCTTTCTTTTGTTTCTTTTTTACTTTTTTTTGGAACTTACATCAGTGTTTTATGAATAGGTAGTTCTACAGCAACATCACGTTATGATGGGGTTTTTTGTTTAAATGTTTTTCAGGTTGTTGGAAGAGGGCATTTAGTCTGTGGTTTTGTTTGCTTGAATGTCTCACTGAACAATAGTCTGTTATTCCCTTTGCAGAAACTATGAAGCACACAGTAAAGCACAGGCCAAGAAATATGCCAAATGCAAGTACGAATTTATGGCAAGAAACAACAGTGAGCTTTCTGTCATGAAAGAAGAAATTGTAGAGGTAATTTTTTAAATTTTTTTTCTCCAAAGAGAAAACATGAATTTCTGTTACTACTCAAAGCTGAGGGTACCTTTCCTGCGAGCATTATGGCTGGCCTTAACGGTTACTTCAATGTGTTTCTTTTATCTTCCCTAAGATGGAAAGTTCAATTAATTTGTTTTGCATCATAGACAAGATTCTGTGCTGATTTATGAATTGATGCTGTAGACATCCATGCTAGAAATATATTTGTGTGTTTCTTCTATCTTCTCTAGTGTTGCTTTTAAAAGCCTAATTTAGTGGAATTTAAATAACTGACTCTGGCAAACACCGTCTGTGTACACACAGGGCATAGCAAAAGACTCTCCTTTCCTGAAAGAGATGGTACCCTGAAAGCTAGACAAATTTGGAAGGGAGGGAGCAAGCAAGCAAGAAAATCTTATATGTAAGATTGCACATCAGGTGGTCAGGCTTCAGACTTCTCCTGGCCGTCCTGCTCCAGTTCCCTGTTTACTCAGAAGCACGCGCTCTCCAGATTTGTGCTTTCCTAGAACGATGTGCTTTTCCTTAGGTTATTAGTAGTCACTTATTCCTTTTGTCAACAGCATGTAAGTTTTGGAGATGTCAGCCTCTCCGTGCAAGCAAGTCAGTCCACTGGGTTGTCCAGCTCGTGTGAATTTACAGAGATTCACTACACACTTTTCTTCCATATCGTTTCTTGAGAACCATGTTTTGAAAAGTGCAGTACTACCATGTAGAATTAGTGATGCTGATAATCAAGGAAGCCTACAGGGGTTTCTCAGCGACATTTATGTAAGATCTGTTGGCAATCACAGAACCTGACAAGGTTATGGTTTTGTTTTTAAATGATGCCCAGTCTAGGTACTGGCAGGAAGAAAGTCAGAAAAAATACTTAAATAATTGTCTTATTATTTCAGATTCTGGATGACAGAAAGCAGTGGTGGAAGGTTCAGAATAAAAGTGGCAGCACAGGTTTTGTGCCAAACAACATTTTGGACCCTCTGAGGAATCATGAAGGTGGTCTAGGATGGTCAGAGCCTGTGTATACCCGAACCATCCAGGTACCATCCACTCCTTGGCAATGAAACTTTCTTTTGAAGTGTGCCTCTGTGTGTGGAGCAGGAGGAGATTTGTATTTCTTTTACAGACTGAGGCTGATTTCTGTATTGCATAGAGTCTAACATGAGTATAAAGTTGATGAAGATACAGCAAAACCTTTTCCTTTAAGGGATTTTTTTTTTTTTTTTGCTTATTTGCTTAGAGGTGGTAATTTCAATCCTAATGGATGTGTCTGCATTTATTTTAATTGCAAATATCCTTTGTGGATTGGTAGCTGTTGATGCCAAAGAAGGAGTTTGAATTATTTAAGGTAGGGTCATCTTTGCTTCTCCTAGGAGAGTGAATGCTAGCTTTTCTTTTTATTTTCTGTCTTTGTGTGTCTCTATCTTAGTCTTGAATTTATTTAATTATGTAATTTTTGAGTCATAAAAAATAGGCGGCTTTGCTTTTGAATTCACAAAGCAGGTATTTTTCAATTACTATGCCTGTGCATCAATAGCACTCTAGTCTCCTGACCTAATTTTGGTTTTATTTCTTTCATGTTATGGTGTGGAATTAAGATTTTTTTGTTGTTGTTGTTTCTTTTATATGTTGAACAGAATTAGAGGGTAAAATAATAATAATAATAAAAAAATCTTACGTCAGTGCAATTATCCACCTGAGCAAGGATATACAGGATAAAGTTGTAATGTGTATTTTTAGACAACATTTAAGTGGGCTGGAGGCTTATATAATAAGAGGCTGTATTTTCTAAGACTGTTTCTTCCCTTTTATATCTAATGATTTTGAAAGGTTAGGCAAACAAATTTGGATTAAGCAGAAATTCCAGGCATGCCTCTAAATCAGACTTTCAGTCCAAATGCAAACCGAACTTCTGTTGAAACTTGAAGTTAAATTTAATTTAATTTAATCTAATATTCATTCCTTGTGCCTACACACTCTGGCTGATGATTGAAAACTGAGAAATGCCATAGCGTTACTGTTGACTGTCTCTGCTGCAAACTCATCTAAAAGTCCCAGTCGAAGGTGTCGCTGTGCCAGACCCTGCATGCACAGCTATCGTGAAAGGTGCAGCTTTTGCAGTATTTCCAGTCTTTCCATGGATATAGAAAGTCTCTTGAGAAACGGATGCGATGCTATTTCTGGCACAATAATGCAGTAGACCCATCTTGAGCTTGGTGGGCTTGAATCAGACCATTTCTGAGTTCTTCCTATCCCTAATTGTTTGCCAATAATGTGTGAGCTCATTCAAACTTGATTATGGTTTTTGCCTGTGTGTGAAATGAAGCATGTACCTAGAGTGCTTTTCGGATCCTGATTTAAAGATCTGGCTTTTTTTCCTCGAGTGCATGTAATTTTGTGTGTTTGGAATTTGCCAAGAAATCCTGAGCAGACTGAGTACAGTTCTGAGTAGAGATTCTTGCACTATTCTTTGTAATGCACTGCAGGTTTTGAAGTTTTCTGTTTGAAGTTGTGACATGACATGGAAGATAATAAAATAATCATTTTTGCAAAGCATTCTCCATGGACCTGTGAAAATTAGGCTCAGAGAACAACATTTAAGATAATTTTGTTTCTTTGCTCTCTGGCAGGTTGTTCCCTACAGTCCATGGCTTGTTTTGTTTGTAGCTTTATCATATTCAAACGTGAGTTTCAAATCCTGTGAAATTATTTAGGAATATAATGAATTACACAGGATAAAGGGAGTCTTTACCAAGATGTGTCAGTAGTATTGTCCTTAACTTTATGGTCATTATTAT